TATTGCATCCATCACATGGTCAGACCCTGAGCCAAGGGATGACACCTGTAGAAGGGACATCGCAGAGCGAATAAAGGAATCGGGCAGGAAAGTATTCAAGAAGTACCTTGTCGAAAAGAGCGATGTAGAGACTGAAGCCGAACTTTTCTTTGAGGCCGATCTTCTCGGCCAAAGCAGAACAGACTTCAGCAGCCGTGGTAGCACTATCCGCGCATAACGTCTTCACTGACCCGTCCATAAGTGTCACGGCTAACACTATCAACTTCTTCGCTTTGTTCGCCTTCAAAAAGTATCTATAAGGCTGGTCTAACATTCTCTGATGCTGTGTATATAACTGTATTGAGCTTCAGTAAAGCTGGGCATGAATTTTTACCTGAAAGTCAATTAGTTGTAGAAAAATCAGGTTAGTGTTGAAAGGTGCAATCAAATGATAAGTAATCTCAAGGAAACTGCAGAGAAGAAAGGTTCGCCCCAAGAGCTCTGGAGGAGTTAGAAGTCATCTTTGAACCGCGTTATTTTAGGCCACCGCGAACTTAAACGTAAGCACAAGGGNTGCAGAGAAGAAAGGTTCGCCTCAAGAGCTCTGGAGGAGTTAGAAGTCATCTTTGAACCGCGTTATTTTAGGCCACCGCGAACTTAAACGTAAGCACAAGGGTAGACTTCTTCATGAGAGCTTCCAAAGAATGGAGTGCTTTTGAATCCCTCAAGCGAGGACGGTCCTATAGACAACACTTGTTCGCGACAGGGACGATGAGAATATTGTGAGTAACCGCTAATGTCAAGCTATGACCAAAGAAACGAAGTGTTTACACGCTGAAGAGCCCAAATAATAATTTTTTTATACATTAAAAGTTATACATGGGCTTCGAATTCTGATCTAAGTCAATGTGAAGAAACAGACAGATCTAGAGACCTTCAGAGAGCTGGATGGGTTACCGATTTCAAGAAAGGCACTTACTTGGAGCTCGACGTAGCTGGGCGGTTGGTGACGACATCCATTCTGTTCAGTTCGTCGTAATCGTTCTTCCATGTAAGCCGCATATCCCGCTCCCGAAGGACCACGCTCACGAATGAAGCAGTAAAGGTACTTGATAAAGCTGAATTGACAACGGTGAAATGGGTAGATGGGCGGAATCTTATTTTTGTACACAAAGGTACTTTTGAATAAAATTGCAAGTCTTTAAATGGTAGGTTCAGTGGGGTACAGCTAGACAACATGAAGACAAGTAATTCGATTTTGCAAATTGGTGGCTGGAAACTATTCAGAAGAGATCTTGAAAAAAAAGCGAATTCTAAGGAATCTCACCGAGGGCTAGGAGCAAAACATCCAACGCACAGCGATAGTAGAATCCAGCCGCGTGCAGCCGAAAGCCTTGACGGATTGCCAGTGAGCTGCTTGCAGAGCTGACAATAAATTTCGTCTCTGAAATATGCTGACAGAATCTCTCGGCTGTTCTAATATTTTTACTTTTCCCACCCTTACCTGAGTTCTTCTCTGAGTATTCCCATCCCGATGATGTAGTGTAGCTTATCGAGTGAACTCATTGGTCTGTTCTCCATCAAAGCATTCGACGATGACGAAGAATCGGTCGATCGTTCTGACGAAGAGGAGCTCATGCCTGAATTGGCACCATCTCAGAAGGAATCAACTGGCAGCTCTACCGTTTGCACCTACCTGAGAGCTTCGTCTTTCGTTTTAATGTCATGGACATCAGTTTCTTCCCCATGCTTTTCTTAAGAGTTCGACCTGCGCCGTCGAATTCCTCCGCTTGGGCGGCTTCCTCGACGTCGCGAGAGGTGTACTTTCGGCTCAATGTTTCGAACAGTCGACTCATTATGGGTGTTTTATCCTAAAGAATTTGAGATCACTCGCTGATACCAAAGTGAGGAGAGCAGACGTCATTCAAAGGACGAATAACAACTACACATATGTGCATAACCAACGTTTAGCAGCTTGTTCTATCACCTTATTCTGACGTCTTGGTCTGTTGCTAATTTATTTATTTATTGGCTTATTTATTCATTTATCTGCCCCACTGCACTCAAAAATGCATCACAAAATGAAAAAAATGTTTACTGTTTTTTATACAGGTATCGAGCATTTTTTGATGACAGAGAAAAATGGTATAACTCAAAATCCGCTAAAACAAAATGGTCATGGGATCTAACCTCGGAGTCGTACCCGCCTAGTGGCTGCCATTTTTCACAACTTTTCTATATCATAAGATTCGTACCAGAATTTTCTGGAAAGTAAACAATTGGCTTGTATATCACATGCTCCCACTGCATAGATAAATACGCAATTACATAGACGCCACAAAGATGGTGATTAGAAGACGAAAGGGTGGGCTCTCCAAAAACGGAGTTTTTCGTCGTGAAATTGTACTTTTGTAAAGTGTAAATTGTACTACGTCGGAAGGAAAGTTAGCAATTACGCCCTGAAATGCACCATGCGTTTTCATCCGAGATCCCACACGAGCTCGGTAGGTTTCTCTTGAGCGAAAGAATTCAGCAACACTCTAGGATTACGTATACTCAGCAGTCACTCTGCAACTTTTTGTCAAATGGCTCCATCCACTTACTGCAGAAGGATAGGATTAGCATCATACCTCACCTTCCAGCTTTTCCATCTTCAGTTAATTCACAACTTACAGTACACGTTGCTCAGACGCTCACTATTTTTAGGCGACTTACCGGCACGTCTCCATTATTCGAGCCATGTTTCACGTCTGGGAGATCCCCCATAAACCGAAGAATCGTTATCCA